ACGTCTATTAACTTAAAAAGGAATAAAGATAGATACTCCCATTCATCACATTTGAACATTTAACTGATTGCTGTATTATTTGCAGCATGAGTTATAAGTCCCCCAAAATATCAATGGTGCCAGGCTTCGTGTAAGGCTTCTTTGTAAGATGACATTATTTTCCAAAACTTCAAGGTTTTTGACTGCTTTTTCTCACTAAGGATATAAATGATACTTTGTTTTGTTTCTTCCCCAGATCCTGACTCCCAGAATGAAAGTCATGATTATCATTGTCAGAAACCAGTTTGAAGTAGAAGGTTATTGCAGAGAGAGATGGATGGCAGCAGATACTACCTAATAGCTTATGGTATAGGTAGAAATTGATTTACAACAGTTCATTTAGTGACTGAAATTACAATGGCACTGAAAAAGTGATATATGATCATTTTTCACACTTATGATCATTCCTGTGTCACATGATCAAAATTCAGACACTTGACAACTGGTTTATATTTATATGGTTAGTGTCTCGGGGGTCACATGATATTGTGACCTAAAAGAGTTCTATAAGTTTTGCCTTTATGGCCTCTGCATATTCTATATTTATAGGTTAGTTTTCCCAAGTATCAAAATAAATCAACAAAATAAAGTCTATGAAGCATCCTTCCCCCTAGATGTGTCTTCCAGTTTTTTTGGATTACAGATGTTACAATTCTCAGCTACCAAACACCATGCTGACTGAGAAATAGGAAGTTATAGTCCAACACTTGGACCCTAACCTTGGAAGATATGTAAACACTTCCTTGAACTACCTCTTCTTCTGGAAAAGAGGAAAGTAAATGAAGTAGAAATTGACAGTATAATATCACCCAACCACAGTTTCTATTTACAGCATGTAGAAGTGCTTTTACAAGAGCATGAAAGTATCACAATATTTATCAGTTCTGCATTTATCTTTTTTCCAGAATTCTGCCTCTAATTAATTGATTTTATATTATTATTCCTCTATTTTTCCACTTATAACAAGGTCTAAGAACAGAAAACTCATATTCCTATTGTGTCTGATACAATTTAATACAAGAGTTTAATTCCACTTCTTAAGAACTATTCAAAACCTACTTGTGACCAATAACTAAAAGAGCCTTGGTAGTGCAGTGGTCTAAGGCACCCTGTTATTAAGCTGGTTATTAAAACCAGCTGCCTGCAATTACTGCAGGTTCGAATCTCGCCAAGGCTCAAGGTTGACTCAGCCTTCCATCCTTTCTAAGGTAGGTAAATTGAGGACCCAGTTATGGGGGCAATAAGCTGACTTTGTATAAATATACAAAAGAATGAAGGCTATTGCTTAGCGCATTGTAAGCCGCCCTGAGTCTCCGGAGAAGGGCGGCATATAAATCAAATTAAAAAACAAACAAACCTGAATGTGAGATATTTTTTTAACATTTTAATTTATATTTGTATTCCTTCTTCCTTTTAGAACAGTCCAGATCAAGTTACAAAACAAGACAAAAAATGAAAGCAGTCTTAATTAAAACCTTCATAATAAAGCCAACAATCCATACAATTTATAAATACAAACATCAAAACAGAGGTTCCTTTTAAAAAAGCAGTATAAGAGGCAAACTAAAAGACAACCTGATTGAGAACTAGATTTTTTCTCCCATAAATACTTAAGTAAACAGACATACTTTAAACCAATGTTTTTCAAACTTGGCAACTTTAAAATGTATGGACTTCAACTTCCAAAATTGATCAGCCACTAAAGGTGGTGGTGATGGGATCAGCTTACTTAGGTGTACTCTGGGAAGTGTTTCATATAGTACTTGGAATTCTGCCACTGAGAAGAGCATATTATGGCCATTGGACTGTGAGCCGAAGCCCCAGTTAGATCACAAGTAGAACTGGGTAATACTGGGAAAGCAGTCTTATTTAAGACTTGATAAACTGTCATTTAGACAAATGTCAGAATATAATATTGGACCTTATGACTAACCAACTTATGCAGCTCTTTAGGGGTATACCGTTAGATCACCACCTCACTTACAATTAGGTAGCTGCTTCTGCAGCAATTCCAGCTTCTGGTGGTCTCATAAATTCCAATAATTCAGTTGTGAAGTTATGAGGGTATGTATCACTGAGGAAAGGTTATAGTAGTGTTGGCGAACCTTTTCAGCACCGATTGCCGAATCGGAAGTGTGTGTGTGTGCCAGAAACCGTAAGAGCAGCTGTCCAGCATGTGCATGTGCACTGGGCGGCTGCTCTTTTCTCAGTGATCCATACTCTCATAACTTCACAACGGCTGCTGTTATGGTTTCCTGTGCGTGCATGCACACCGGACAGCTGGCTTTCACGCGTGTATGCATGCCAGAAACCAGAAGACCAGGTGGCCAGTACACATGTCCATGCCGGAAACCATAAGAGCAGTAGTCTGGCGCATGCATGCACACCGGCCCCCTGGTCTTCTGGTTTCTGGCACGCATGCATGTACGAAGAACAGGTGGTCGGTGTTCATGCCGGAAACCAGAAGATCATCTTCTCGGCATGCACATGCGCACCAGGAGACTGCTCTTCTGGTTTCCGGCACTCCCACATGCATGAAGACCAGCTGGCCGGTGCACCCGGAAGAGCAATGAGCAATGGCTTGCGCACCCAGAGAGATGGCTCTGCATGCCACTTCCAGCATGCATCAGGGGTGGGTTCTACTTACCTTTACTACCGGTTCATAATGGGGCCGCGCGCAAGTGTGAGCAAAGCGAGCATGCGCACTCTTCTGTGCAAGCGCAGAAGCATTTTGATGACGTCAGGGTCAGTGGGCGGAGCCTCCCGCTGGTTTTACTACCGGTTTTATAGAACCGGTGCGAACCGGGGGTAACCCACCACTGGCATACGTGCCATAGGTTATAGAGTTATAGAGTCCAGATAGGATTGCAACTAATGTATCAGCACCATCTCTCTTTGCCACTGAAACCATCTGATTCCTCTACTGCCACACTGGAATCAAAAAGAAGCTCAAGTTATGTTTCTCACCACTTCATGACTCCGTTTAACAATCAACAACTAAAAAGGCACATTAGGCCAGCTTTAATGCACAGATCCATGAAGTACCCATGTGTTGCAGTGAGCAAAATGTGGAACATTTTGTGAGTTTAACAATTGATCCTGGGCCTGTCTGGCCCTAACCCAATACTTTAATCATAAACAATACTGGCAGTCAGTACAGTCTTTATTTTCAAGTTACTATGTTTCATGTCTATATTTGCCTCATAAGGAAGCGTAACAAAAATTGTAAGTGAATCGGTACGTTGGAAGAAACATCCTTCTAGGTTCTGCTCCAAGTGGGGAAAACAGACACTGGAAACATGGAGACTGCTTGGAAAGATGGTTTAATGGTGGACAAGATCACATGGCTTGGTGGACAGGATCACATGGCTTGAGTTCCTGAACAGAAAAGGGCAGATACAGTAAATCCTCGGGTTTTTATGTTCTCTCTGGCTCTGCATTTCTTGGGCCCCCGAAAGAGTATCCTGATTGGTTGTCAGACTCCCAGGGGGTGGGGGCCTTGCTGGCTGATGGTCACATGTGCTTCCCAGGTCACATGTGGTGAGTTTCTGCTGCTATTGTGTAGAGGGCTAATCCTATCTTTGGCAATTCCTACTATGGCTCTGCCTGAACGAGGTAGATCTTTGTTATGTAGAATAGACTGGCCCAGGCCTTAATGGCTCATTGACAAAGGGTGGGGGGCAGGAAGGTGGGAGCTGCTTTGTCTGTAAAATATGCTTCTCATATTTCTCATCCAGGGAAATATAATATTCTGCCTTTTTCATATTTCCTAAAATATTTCACTCTTCCAGAAAAGGGGTGGGTGCTAACTTCCTACAGGTAGGTAAACAGCCACTGACTATCTGAATTATATATATTGAAAGCTAGCCTATCTTGACTTATCTCAAAATCCTGAGCAAAGTCAAATCTTGCTACAGTAGAAAATGTAAGTAACTCTGGGTTGAATTATTATATTCTCAATATTTGTAGTAGATATTACCGAGCCTAATAATGAAATGTCTGCAGGAGGAGAAGCAAAAAGAGAACAAAACTGCAACAGGTTCAGTTTTATTTAATATTTTGATGAGGGACACTAGGAAATAGGAATATAGTCTAGACTTGAAAGAAAAAAATCCCTAAAAAAGGCAATAGTAAGCTATTTCTGCATTGTGTGGTGGCTAAGTAAACTAAATGACTGTGACTGTAAAATACCAGATGCATTTCCAAAGCACATACATAAAAATGAATGGTGCTTCTATTTCTTTTACCATCAGGTTTCTTACAACAGGTAAGCAACATTTACCTTACCAGGTCAACATTTACATTACCAGGTCAACATTTGCAAAATTGATTGTATTAAGTTAAATAACTATACAGACATGTTAATTTTATTGTGTTGCTAAACTTTTAACATGATTTACAAATATTAGATACAGAAGGTAGGGCATAGAGTAAAATATGGAAAACTGTTTGGTTAGGCTAAATAGCATCTGGGATTAACATACCTTGATGCAAACCATTTTGAACCGAGCAAATACTGAGCTCCGGAAATACGAGTTAAGGTGAGAGCCTTCGACCGTTCTCTTTTGTATCACGTATGGCGCAATATCAAAATGTATTACGGATATGAGAACTAATAACAGTGTTCTGAGCCTGAGTGTATAGTGATCTGCGCGCTCCTGAGTAGGAGAGAGAAAAGCGTGGGCGAGATAATTGGGGAAAACGCCTTCATAAACCAAGCCGCGGGTTAACCCCGAGGGAGGGCTTTTCATACATTTCTCTCCCCCCCCCACCCAACCCCAGCTTGTGGAGAAACGGCTTGAGACAAGAGAGGTCGGCCTAAGGCTGATGATTGACACGCAGAGCGAGCTGAAAAGGCTTCATACTGAAACGGGCGGGGAGGAGGGAGAAGCTGGGGAGAGGGAGGGCCAGAAAAGGAACTACTGTAAGAGTTAAGAAAGTCCTGCCCAGCTGTTTGCGAACTTTTTAAGATTTCCTGTTTCCCCTACAGCTAGAGAAAGGGAGCGACTCGCACATGCACGTCAGAAGTACCCAAGCCGCAACTACTCCCGCTGCCTCCGCTGGGGCCTCTTTTTTTCTCCCATCCCACGTTTGCTTCAGAGCTGCTTCGTAGTCTTTCACCCTAGCCTTCCTCCCGCCTCCCCTCGTCCCCCGAGTTGTCTCGGCCAGGCTGTTTCTTATCCCGTGTCTGCAGGCCGCCTCAGGGTGGAGGGAGATAAAATGAGCTGGATTTCTAAGCACATTTTGTTGTGGACTCTTCTGCACAATACGGCTCACCCGCTGGGACGGGGAACAGGTAAATGTGGACTTCGATTTCCTACCTGAGGTGTCTGTCTGTTTGGATGGTCTCTCCTCCACCCCCCTTGCTTTCCGCACTTTTCTCTTAATAGCCTCCTAGCATGCACACTGCACATCGAAAGAACTCGTTAAGTCACTAGCAATCCCGGATGTGTGTGATTAGAAGTCCCATCACCCGCAGCCAGCACGTCTATTGGGTGCATTATCAAAGTCACAGTCGAGCATATCTGGAGCATATCAGGTTTAGAGAGTCTGTTCTAGACAGTCTTTACTTGGGGTTAATCTGTCTCTTCTCTTGTCCAAATTTATTCTAATCTTAACTCTCCCCCACTTTCTTTTCTGAATCCTAACGAACTCCAGAGGCACCATCCTTACTACCACGATCGTTTTGCTAGTTGGGCATATATTTGGGACTTGCATTTCAGTAAAATATAGTTCAGAATTTTTAATCTTGGCCTTTGGTTATCAGAGACAGCTGCCTTATTTTGCACTTCCAGCTGTTGCCACACCTAGCCTGGATGAGTTGCTGTTTATGCATAGGTCAGTTGTTCCCTGTTTGGCAGTAATTGCTGAGTTGGGGTGCAGTGCAACAAAAATAGAGGAACTGTATTATGTGCTAATGTTGTCTGATTCAGAAATCCCCAAATTTGTTTTGAAGCAAATTTTCAAAACTCAAGTTGCCCTAATTTTTCAAACACACAAAGTAATCCGTACAGAAAGAACTCTTCCTATACAAAAGTAAAGGCTGCATAGCTAATTGTTAGCAGTAATTCCCCCTCCCCACCCCCGAGAAAGTACGTGGTAGTTTTTGTTACTGAAAGAAGTAGTCTGGCAAGTTGATTTCTAAAATACTGATGCTAAATACATATTAAAGTAGTGTATGAGAGTTTGGTCTGGGACCTAAGGCATCTCTATGTTCTCCATTTTGCTTTCTGTCTTTTTCAGAAACAAGTCTTTGCATTCATATAATATACTTCAGTGCAGTATCACTTTAAAGATAGAAAGCTTTAAAGTTTTTGATATATAAAACGTGATAGTTGTATTGGTTCTGTGAATTACGGTAAGGGTAAAATGAATAAAGTATTTACTTTGCACAGAAGCTGAGATTTTGAGTTCTTTATCATGTTTGTGGGTATATGCTGATTGTGTTATCTCAATGTTTATGGAAACAAAATTGTAATTAGGTTAGATTGGAGAATAGTAAGAATCTGTGAGGTTAGATATACTTTAGGCTGAAAAAAACTTACTGTATTTCCTAATTTGGTATCCTGCAGATGAATAGAACTACAACCATTATCATCATTGACCAGCATGATGGAAGTTGTGATCCATTCATCTCAAAGTCTAGCTAGGGAAAAATTGTTCTGGAGTTGTATTATTTAATAGTACAGCAACTGTCTAGAAGCCTTGCTATCCTCTTAAAAGTTTCTAATGTGCTTGTTTTCTTTTCCTTCATTTTATATCTGAAATACCTTTCTAAAACTATTTTCTCCCCCCCCTTTAGACCCACTTCGAAAGTTTGAACACACTTTCATGCATATTCACTTGTGATTCCTTCCATTTGTCCTTACTAATCTAAAAATTCAGGCTTTAAGTTCTTTAGAGTAAAGCAAATATCTCACTTATACATTACTATCATGCTATAGTGAAACAATTTCCTATATATTTTATAAATGAAATCATATTATGACATTATACATACAGTAATTATGCTTTTATGTTTCTTAAAAACTGATGATTAATGCAAATTACCATATTGTGCTGGAAAATTGTGTATGTATAAAGTGTTCTTAATATTTAAATTAATACCAGTAATAATAATAATAAGCATCCTGCAAGTTATTTTTAGAATGTTAAAATGTTTTATTCTCACTAGAGCAGCAAATATATGACAAATCATAATAATAGATTATTTGTGTGATTGTAATTGCTCAATTTCTTGCATAGCTCAATATATTATTCCTGTAATAATAATGTGGAATATGTCACCAGAGTAGGTGGTATTGTCATGTGGTTGAACCTTAGTGTAAGGCTTCATAGAATGATGTAAAATATATGCATCTTATAACAAAAAAAGCATTTTTATACTAATATATACATTGCTTCTCTTGCTAGAGGACTAGAATTTATGAATTAAGTTGATTGAGCTTTAAAGAGGTAATAAAGAATTAGATTTAAAAGGTTAACATCATAGTTATTTTGCAGTTACTCCTGAAGATTGAAGAGTTTCTGGAGCAGGATTCAGGACATTTATAGTATTTGTTCCATACACAAACCTGTTTGAGTTTTGCCCTATGTAGCTGGATAGTTTAAAATTAAGTCTCATGACCAAATAATAAACAAGCTTGCCTTTCTCCCCAAATTATAGTTGGAATGGGGGGTCTTCAATTGATAACTGATGATTTTCAATTGAAAATAGAATATGATTGGAATATGTGAAAAGTTTAGTTAACAATTATTTGGCATGCACACTTTCGTTTTAGTCCATCTTTCTGTTTTCTTTTTCTTATGTCACAAATTTAAACTAAAGTAACTTAAAGTACTTACAGATATGTAACGTGGAGGCTAACTTCATAAGCATCAAGTAATTTTGAGATGTTCTTTTTTGAATAATTTACAAGAGGGTGGTTATATTTTCTTCATTTATATACATTTGTTATAGCTGCCTAACATCATTAATAATTAATTTAAAACGTATATTAAGTATAAATTACATATGTAAAACAGTTTATATCATTAAATAATCTTCATCAAGCAAAGTAAATTAATTGAAAAAACTCCCTGCAAAATAGCAGTTTAAATTTTGAGGTTGCTATTTTTGAAAGGATAAGCATGTATGAAAGCTTAATAAAAGTTGCTTTGTGTACTTTGAGACATATATGAAAATTCTTCAGTCAATTGTTTTTATTTTTTACAGGGACTAGTTTAAACTAATGAAAATGATTCAGATATCATTTAAATATATGTTGGATATTCAGTGGAATACTTTTGTTTGAAAATGACTTCAGTAACTTATAATGGGATGGCTTCACCCAGCAGTTTTCACACACAGATAAGTTTTCTGTGATACCCACCTTCAATTACTTGCAGTGTAAGATAATTCATGGCTAAGGAAGTAGATTGTAATCAGATTCAGTCTGATTTGACTATGTGTCAACCATTCTTTCCAGATTTCAAAATAATATGAAGTCAGAAATGCCTGATATAGGGTTAAGGAAAAGCACATAGAATGTCTTTATAAAGAAAATTAAATTTTTTGCAATCCAAAAGTAATTATTAGCCATGTGAAATTTTGCATAACAAATCAGTGACAATATTTAGAATTAGAATTATTTATTTATTGGCCAAGTGTGATTGGACACACAAGGAATTTGTCTTTGGTGCATATGCTCTCAGTGTACATAAAAAGAAAAGATACATTTGTTAAGAATCATAAGGTAGAACACTTAATGATAGTCATAGGATACAAATAAGCAATGAAATCATACTAGGAAACAATATAAATTGTAAGGATACAGCAACAAATTATAGTCATAAGTGGGAAGAGATGGGTGATAGGAACGATGAGAAGATTAATAGTAATAGTAATACAGACTTAGTGAATAGTTTGACAGTGTTGAGGGAATTATTTGTTTAGCATCTCCTTCCACTTATGACTGTAACTTCCATCTCATGGATGACTAAGGATATTGCTAATAATATATAGAATAATAACACATTAACAGAAGTATTTGTGGACCAAATATATATAAAATATCAACATTCAATACAGAAGATCCAGTCACCTTTTCCAAGCTAATCCTGTCCAGGTGTGTTGGATTACAATTTAAGGAATATCTGATTAAACTGAATGTTACTGTCCTATACAGCTATCAAGCTTTAGGATACTGCACTAAATAATTAAAATATTTATTTATTTATTTATTTATTTATTTATTTATTTATTTATTTATTTATTTATTTATTTATTTATTTATTTATTACATGTATTTATATGCCGCCATTCTCCTGAAGGACTCAGGGCGGCGAACACAAGTTAAGAAACATGTACAATAAAATCCCATTTTAAACCAAATAACTAATTAATAATAAATAATAAAACCCGGAATCAGAGTCAGCCTATTTGCTTGAACAGCCAAGTCTTCAGGTCCCAACGGAAGGAGCGGAGATCAGGAGCCGTCCGGAGCTCAGTAGGTAATTCATTCCAGAGGGTGGAACACCCACAGAGAACGCCCTACCCCTGGGCACCGCAAGACGACATTGGCTCGCCGTCGGAACCCTGAGGAGAGCGGCCCTATGTGAGCGAACAGGATGGTGAGAGGCAGGCAGGAGAAGGTCTTGCAAATATCCCGGACCTAAGTCATGTAGGGCCTTATAGGTGAGAACCAGCACCTTGAAGTGGACCCGGAGAACCACTGGTAACCAATGCAGCTCATGCAGGAGAGGTGTTATATGGGAGTAACGAAGGACTCCAGTAACAACCCGTGCGGCTGCATTCTGGATCAGCTGGAGTCTCCGGGTGCATCTCAGGGGCAGGCCCATGTAGAGGGAATTGCAGTAATCCAAGCGGGAAGTAACCAGGGCATGAGTGACTGTGCGAAGGTCATCTCGGTCCAGGAAAGCGCGCAACTGGCGCACCAGGCGAACCTGTGCGAAGGCCCCCCTGATCACGGCCATTAGATGGTCTTTTACGGACAGCCGAGCATCCAGGAGGACACCCAAGTTGCGAGCCCTATCAACGGGGGCAAGTTTTTCTCCATCCATCAAAAGTAATGGGGCCTCTGAAACACGAGATGCCGGCATCCACAGCCACTCAGTCTTGGAGGGATTGAGTTTGAGTCTGTTTCTGCCCATCCAGGCCCGTACCGCCTCCAGGCAACGGAACATCACGGAAAGGGCATCTCTGGGGTGGTCTGGGGTGGAGATGTGTAATTGGGTATCATCAGCATATTGATGATATCTCACCCCAAAGCCACGAATGATCTCACCCAGTGGCTT